GCCTGTACACCTGTTACCAAGAGAAGTCAGACCGAAGAGTCACACGGATTTCTTTCCATTTCTATTCACAACTAATGTCTGTAGTAATGGGAAGGAACTTTTTTAAAAAAATTGATTTCAGAGATGAAGGGAGTTAGAAACATCAACGATGAGAACGAATCATTGATTGGATGCCTCCTGCACACCCCACACTGGGAATAGAGCCCAGAACCCGGGCCTGTGCCCAGAACCCTTCAGCACTCTATCCACTGAGCCAAACCGACCAGGGCAGAACGGGACTCTTTAGTTTGAGGACCACTTTTGCAGAGTTAGCAGCTTTCCAAAATACACACACCCACAGCTGCCCATTTCTGTCCCCAAAACCAACGCATCCCAGCTACAGGTGAAACTGATGGCACTCTGAATAGATGAAGAGGGATTTCTTTTTTAAATTATACTAAGAAATTAAAAAGTAGATTTCTCAAAATTTAAATGATTGACACTACCACTGTGCACCACCATACTTTTTAAAAAATTAAACAACAAAAAAGTTTAAAAAGTTAAAAATGTTTAAATGAAAAAAACATAGAGTAGGAATATAAACAAAGAGAATACTTTTGTACAGCTGTATATGTTTGTGTTCTAAGCTAAGTGTTATTACAAGGTCAAAGCATCTTAACATTTTTTATTAAGTAAAAACAGTAAACAGGTTAATTTATTGTTGAATAAAGAAAAAATATTATTTTATAATGTAGTTTAGCCTAAGTGAACAGTGTTTATAAATTCTATAGTAGTGGCAGTAATGTAATGTCCTAAGCCAGTAATCGGCAAACTCATTAGTCAACAGAGCGGCAAACTATGGCTCTCGAGTTTGCCGACCACTGTCCTAGGCCTTCACAGTCACTCGCCACTCACTCCCTGACACCCAGAACAGCTTCCAGAAATGCACAAATGGAAGTTCCATTCATGGTAAGTGCCCTAAACAGGTGTACCATTTTTTGTCTTTTATACCATATTTTTACTGTACCTTTTCTGTGTAGATACACAAGTACATACGGCACTCAGTACAGTAACCTATCGTACAGGCTTACAGCCCAAGAGCAACAGGCCATGCCGTGCTGCCTAGGTGGCTAGGAGGCGAGGCCATCCAGGTTGTGTAAGGGCTGATGTTCTCACGACGGCAAAGTCGCCTCACAACACGTTCCTCCGATGGCTAAGTGGAGCATGATTGGGGTTTGGTTCATCATTCACCCATTGAATAATATAATATGTTATTTCCAGTTTGTGCGATTACAAATGAAGCTGCTGTGAACATTCATACACAAGGTTTTCAAGTAAACAGTTTTCATTTATCTGAGATAAATGCCCCGGTGCATTGCTGTCTGTGGCAGTTCTAGAAGAAACTGCCAGTGTTTTCCAGACAGGTGGCACGAGGTTGCAACCCCACAGCGATGCAGAAGTGGTGGTTTTTCCACATCCTCACTGGCACTTGCTGTTTTCATTTTGGCCATTCTCGTAGGTGCCTAGTGACCACTTAGTGTGAGTTTAGTTGGCATTTCCCTGCTGGCTAACGTTGAGCATCTTTACAGGTGCTTATTTGCCATCAGGGCAATGTTTCCTCATATGTTTTGCCCATGTTCTAACTGGATTTTCTTTTTCTATGTTGAGTTTTGAGAGTTGTTCTTTACAGATTCCAGATACTAGGAATTTACTATGTGGTTTGTATGTTTTTTTGGGGGGATTTTTGGGTTGCACTCTGTAACTTACCTTTTCATCCTCTTAGCAGTGTCTGTCATAGAGCAAACATTGTAATGTTAAGGAGCTCCAATTTATTAATTTCTCCTTTTGTGGATCATGCTTTCTTATTTATTGTTGTTGTTAATCCTCACCCAAGGATACTTTTCTATTGATTTTGGGAGACAGTGAAAGGGAGAGCAAGATACACACAGAGAGACACATGCCTTCCACACATGCCCCAACCGAGCCCGCAACCAAGGTACATGTCCTTGACCAGAATCAAACCTGGGGCCCTTCAGTCCGCAGGCTGACACTCTACACACTGAACCAAACCAGCCCGGGCTGTGGCTCATGTTTTTGAGAAAAAGTCTTCCTCTTTCCTCAGGATTGGTCCTAAAGATGTTATTCTATTTTCTTCTATACGTTTCCTGGTTTACATTCTATTTTAAGTCTGTGATCCAACATGAGCCCATCGGTATGGTATGTGAGGCTTACAATGAGGTTTCTTTTTGCCTCTCCCTTTCCATGGCCAGTTGCTCTAGCACCACTGCTTTTGCACCTTTATCAAACACCAGTTTGACACATTTAAGTGGGTCGGAGTCTCTGTTTCTATTGATTATATGCCTGTCCCTCTGCCACCAACACTATAGTCCTTTTTTAAAAATATTTTTCAATTATAGTTGACATTGAATTTTATTCTGTATTGGTTTCAAATATACAGCATATTAGTTAATCATATGCTTTACCAACTATTCCCCCTGATGTTTCCAGTACCCACCTGGCACCATACACAGTTATTACAATATTATGGGTATCTTTTACATCCCCATGTCTATTTTGTAACTGCCAATCTGTACTTCTTAATCCTTCACCTTTTTTCATTCAGTCCCTCAACCCCCATCCCTTCAGTCTGTTCTTCTATATCTATGAGTCTGTTTGTTTGTTCATTTATTTTCTTTAGATTCGGCATATAAGTGAAATCATATGCAATACACGGTCTTAATTACTGTAGCTCTGGAGTAAGCGTTCATATTGAGTAGAATGATTCCTCCCACTTCATTCTTCTTTTTCAAGATTGCTTTAGCTATTTGGGAGCCTCTGCCTCTCCTTATGTTTTAATATATTTTTATTTATTTCAGAGAGGGAGAGGGAGAGAGAGAGAGAAACATCAATGATGAGAGAGAATGATCCGCTGCCTCCTGCGTGCTCCCCATCCAGGGGTCAACCCTGCAACAGCCCCCAACCTGGGCTTATGCCCTGACCGGGAATTGAACCATGACTTCCTGGTTCATAGGTCAGCGCTCAACCACTTTGCCACCCTGGCTGGGCTTCCTGATCAATTTTAAACTAAGCTTGTCTTCAAACACCTTACCGAAGTTTTGATAGGAATTGCATTAAACCTCGAGATCAGTTTGCAGAACTGACATCTTTACTACTAGTATGTTGGGCCTTCCAGTCCACAGATAGGGGTGCCTCTTCACCTATTTAGGTCTCCTGCTATTTCATCCACATTTTATAACTGTCAGCATAAGATCTTGAACATTTTAAGTGTATACCTAAGTATATAATTTCCTTTGCAATGATAGCAAATAGTATTATTTTTAATATCAGTTTCTACATGTTCATTGCTAGTGTATGAAAATGAGATAGATTTTTGCCTGTTAATCTTGTATCCTATGACCTGGCTGAACTCTCTGGTGCTAGTTTTGGATTTTCTATGCAGACCACCATGTCTTCTGCAAATAGGGATGGTCTTGTGTCTTTCTTTGCAATTTGTAAGCCTTTCAGTAAGTTTTCTTGCCTTGCTGCAGCGGCAGACTTGCAGTGCTGTGTGGAATAAGGACTGTGAAAGCTGACGTCCTTGCTCTGTTCCTGTCTTGAGTGAACACAGATAGTCCTTGCTGTGTTTTACCCATGACATGGCTTTTATCCCAATTCTCTTACAAAATGTAATTTGTCTTCTTTTCCTCCCCCTCCTCCCCCACCTCTTCTTGTTAAGAAGCTGAAGACTTAGGGATTGGTCCAACTGAGATGACAGAGCAAAAAGAGCGCAAAGGAGATGGCAGTACTTGCTCCCCAGGCGAGGCTTGCAAGCCTGATAAAACCAAGCTCCTTTCCAGAGGCTGGGCCCCTTACAGCTCTAATCAGCGCTGGAGAGCTGGGCTGTTATCAGAGCCCGGCATTAGGGGGGAGCGGAGGGCTCCTGTAGATGGTGCAGAAGCTGCTGTCCCCGGAGCGGTACCTGCACCTCCGCTGCGCTGCTCTCCCGGGCAGCTCTGCGCTGCCAGCCATGCTGCCTGCCAAGCTGAGCTGGCGATAGCGGAGTCTCAGATACCAGATCCAGGGCGACGGAGGGCCAGGGCCAGGTTTAGATTTGGTGCGCTCCTGGCAGCGGTTCACCCAGAGCAGGGATCGTAGGTGAAGAGAAGCCAAATAAGACTTCCGCGGCTGGGTGAAATGCAAGCGCAATATGCGAAACCCGAGAACCAACTATTTTTAATATGGGAGGGGAGAGGCAGTTTAACCTAAAATTAAAAATAAACGTATCCCACCTGGCCCTCGGTGACCTCTCCGCTGGGCCCCGCCCCGCCCCCCGCCCTGCGCGCGCCCCCGCGCGCCCCGCCCTCGGCGCCCCTCGCGCCCCCCGCCCCCGCCCCCGCCCGGACCACACCTGCTCAGGTGGGACCCGCGGGACGCGCCGCCGTGGGGCGGGGAGCGGGGCGGCGGGAAGGCGCGGCGGCCATGAGGACGCGGGCCTTCCCCGCTGATGGCCGCTCACGGCCCGGCGGAGCCGGGGAGCCCGGCCGGAGGGGGGCGCCGCCCGCTCGCACCCCGGGGCCCCCTTCCCACGCGTCTCCCCCGCCGCTGGTCCGTACCATCGCCGCCGCGGGGCAGGCGGAGCGGCCCATCCGGGAGGGACGGGGCGGGCTGGGCGGGGAGCGGGGGGTGGGGCGGGGGCCGGGCGGGGAGCCGGAGGGTGGGGCAGGGGCCGGGCGGGACGGGCCGGACCGGGCGGGGGCCGGGCGGGGGCCGGGCGGGGGCCGGGCGGGGCGGGGCGGACCGGGCGGAGGCCGGGCGGGGGCCGGGCGGGGAGCTGGGGGGTTGGGCGGGGGCCGGGCCGCGCTCGGTTCCGGTCCAGCCGCGAGGCCCCTCCTCCGGCGGCGGCGCCCAGCGAGGCCGTGCGCCCGGCGGGCCGCGAGCCCAGCCCCCCGCCCCGCGCCCCGCGCCCCGCCCCGCCCCGCGCGGGGACGCGCGCCGCGCTGCTGACCCTGTCTCCTCCTCAGGCGGCGCTGGCGGCCCCGGGACCCGCGGAAGCCGGCATGCTGGAGAAATTGGAGTTGGACGAAGACGGTGAGTGCCCCGCGCTGCCCAGCGCTCCGCCCCGCGCCCCGGCCGGCGGCGGCTCCCCGCGCCCGGAGGCCGCGCCCGCCGCGCCCGGCTTCTGGCTGCCAGCCGCCCGCCGCCGGCATCGGGGCGCGGGCCCGGGCGCCCGCAGTGGCTCCGGCGCCTCCGCAGGGGAAGCCGGGGTCCGGGTGGCCGGTCCTTTTGTCCCGAGCAGCCGCAGCCGGCGGAGCCAGGTGCCAGGCGCGGGCACTGCCGTCCGCCGCGTCCGCGGGGCACCGAGTTCCGGTGCGGTCCATCCCTGCGGTAGCGAACCGCCCCCTGTGTGTGCGGGATCGACCGCCCCCTGTGTGTGTGCGGGACCGAACCCCCACTGTGTGTGTGCGGGACCGAACCCCCACTGTGTGTGTGTGCGGGACCGAACCCCCACTGTGTGTGCGAGGGACCGACCGCCCCCTGTGTGTGCGGGACCGAATCTCCACTGTGTGTGAGGGACCGAACCCCCTCTGTGTGTGTGTGAGGGACCGCACCCCCACTGTGTGTGTGTGAGGGACCGAACCCCCACTGTGTGTGTGTGAGGGACCGCACCCCCACTGTGTGTGTGTGAGGGACTGGACCCTTCACTGTGTGTGTGAGGGACTGAACCCCCACTGTGTGTGTGAGGGACCGCACCCCCACTGTGTGTGTGTGAGGGACCGCACCCCCACTGTGTGTGTGTGAGGGACCGCACCCCCACTGTGTGTGTGTGAGGGACTGGACCCCTCACTGTGTGTGTGTGAGGGACAGAACCCCCACTGTGTGTGTGTGAGGGACCGCACCCCCACTGTGTGTGTGAGGGACCGCACCCCCACTGTGTGTGTGAGGGACCGCACCCCCACTGTGTGTGTGAGGGACCAAACCCCCACTGTGTGTGTGTGAGGGACCGAACCACCACTGTGTGTGTGTGAGGGACCGAACCACCACTGTGTGTGTGTGTGAGGGACCGAACCACCACTGTGTGTGTGTGTGAGGGACCGCACCCCCACTGTGTGTGTGAGGGACCAAACCCCCACTGTGTGTGTGTGAGGGACAGAACCACCACTGTGTGTGTGAGGGACCAAACCCCCACTGTGTGTGTGTGAGGGACCGAACCACCACTGTGTGTGTGTGTGAGGGACTGGACCCCTCACTGTGTGTGTGTGTGAGGGACCGAACCCCACTGTGTGTGTGTGAGGGACTGGACCCCTCACTGTATGTGCGCGCGCGCGCGCCCGCGGGGCTGCGCCAGGGCGTGTCCTCTGGTGAAGGGGAAAGTTGGATGGGAAGCCTGAAGCGCTGAGGGGATTGGAGTTCGGTGACTGTCACTCCATCATTTCAGGCGCCTCTTCTCTCACTTGGTTTTTTCCCCTCTCTTGTTTTTGTCTTCCTTACCTGGATCTTATTTTGAAGCTGTTAAAACATGAAGGGAATGAGTTTGTTCTTCAGCCAAATTAATATTACCTTGGTCTTTTTTTTTTTTTTTAACTTAAAATTTGAAGGGAGATACAGTAACTGGATTTGGGGCAACATTACTATTTTAAATGGAAGCTAATGAGTTCAAAGTGGAAAAGAACTTGGTCTAAGAGGCTTGACAGTTTGAAAAATGTGAAAGACCTGGACACTGTCTTGTGGACTTGCATTATTTATTCAGTGACTTCTCTTTCTCCTGAGCGTCTTGATGGAATGAAGCTCCTGGAACAAAGAATGTGCCATGTGTGTGCTGTGCCCTGTGCCAACTTTGCTTCAGTTTTCTGTTCATTGACAGGCGGGTACTTACATGACAGACAGGAACAGCCAGCTGAGAATGCTAGCCTGGAGCATTAGGCCAGTGTCTACATTTGTTCTATGTTTCAGTTCTCTGTAGCCTTTCACAAACACCTAGGCCAGGAAATAATGCACTCACAGTAATCATCGTTAAAAGCCTGCATCCCTATTTGTTAACAAGCGCTTACTTGATACATTTCAGACTTTTACTGAAACTTAATTTGCATTTTATCTTACTGAGGAATCCACCTCATTTTGGCCCCTGTCCATAGGGCAATATGGTGTGTCTCCCTTTTCAATTAAGATTGCGAATGGCCCTAGATGGTTTGGCTCAGTGGATAGAGCTTTGGCCTGCGGACTGAAGGGTCCGTCCCAGGTTTGATTCCGGTCAAGGGCATGTACATTGGTTTCGGGCACATCCCTAGTAGGGGGCGTGCAGGAGGCAGCTGATCGATGTTTCTAACTATCCCTTTCCCTTCCTCTCAGTAAAAAAAACAATAAAAAATATTTTTTTTTAAAGATTGCAAATGTCTAAATCCTAGGGGTTTTCTTTGTCTCTAACATTAGTAACAATGAGCCATCCACTGCATTTAAACTTCTCGCAGGTTCACCTGGGGACACGAGGAGAGTAGACAGCAAGTGCAATTAGGTACCACAGTCATGGACAAGCACACAGGCCCAGCTTCCAATCTTAGCTCCACTTCTTATTTAGCTGTGTGACTTTGGACAGGTAACTTAACCTCTCTGTGCCTTGCTTCCCCCATTCATAAGATGGAGCTATGTAATATCAGGGTATTTTGAGGATAAAATGAAACAGTCCATGTGATGATATTAATGCAGTGTAAACCCAGAGGAAGTGTTATTAACTATTTTTTCTTAAGAACCATTATCCACTGTACTGAATTACTGGACTTCCTACGGCTTTATCAATGAATCTTAACACAGAGACTGTCTTCTCAACATGGATTTGATGGGTTCTTTCCTTACTGGAGATTTACATATTTAATTATGCTTCATTTCTCAGAGCAGATATACAAGCCTTATTTCTTTTGCATTGTTTCTGTCAATGGAATGCATATAAACTAAGAATCCTAAGCACCTAAGAAAAGGAATTTCCCATTTTCACTCATCTATTTTTATCTATATTGCTCTCATTATGCTAAAGCATACTGAATCCCACAAATAACCTTGTCAAACTTTTCTAGATTTTTAAGGAGGAAGAATGTTAAGCAATCACTCAGAAGCTGTTAGCTGAGCTAGAAGGAGTGGTGTTGGCGTTTTGTCTAAAATGCTGCTTTGGTTTTTGGTTTTTTTTGGGTTTTTTTGTGTTTTTTTTTACTTTAGATTGCTTATTCATCCAAAATATGGAAAAACTGAATATGAAGCAGAATCATGCATTTATTGGGAGGGTGGTGCTAACAAGACATTACACCTCTAAATATCCTGGGAACTGATGTGTTAGCAGCCTCCATAAGAGATAGCTGTCAAGTTGATTCTCATTTAGTCTTTAAGTTTCCTTCTCATCAAGTTAATCTCATCATTTATGTATGACAGGCCGGAAGCATTACTTAGAAGGAGATACATTTTGTGTACATGGAAACACGTGATTACTAATATTTTGTTACTAAGTATTTTTTTGTTTCCTCATTAATTATAATTGATGCTATATTTGCTAGAAGCAAATCGGAGGCGCTAGTGAAATTGGAGTAAGCTCTTGGAGTGTCTTTTGCTGCTGGGAAGGAAAGCTGTCTGGCAGCGTCCCCTGCACAGTGTGGGTCTCTGCCGGGGTGCTGACACCCGCTGCCCACCTGCTTTCAGACGTCAGCTCCTCTGGCCATCACACTGTAACCCAGGGAGCAGGGACTGATGGCACCACGCCTTTAAGGGAAAATCTTTACCGCGTTTGCCTGACTATTTATAGGATAAGTGCATGCCTTTCTTCATCTGCAGCCTCACCACCTCCCTCCTCCCGGCCACAAGCCAGTGACAGGAGAGCTTTCTGGGCATAAGAATCGCCAGAGCCTGGCTGGTGTGAGCATCAACCCATGCTCGATTCCCATTCAGGGCACGCCTGGGTTGCAGGCTCCATCCCCAGAAGGGGGCATGCAGGAGGCAGCCAGTTAGTGATTCTCATCATTTGATATTTCTCTCTCCCCTTCTCCTTTCCTCTCTCTGTAATCAATAAAAACTTTTAATGTTTTGCGAGAGATCTTTTTAGGAGGCAGATCCTAGTTCTGTGGGTCTGCGATGGGACCTGAGTGTCTGACTCTCTGCCAAACAGCTGGATGCTGCTGCTTCACAGACCCCCCTCTGAGAACAAGGCTCTAGAACAGGCATCCCCAAACTTCTGTGAGGGCCAGCTAGCTGGTCTCCGTCTCTGTCATGACTACTCAGCTTGCCTGAGCCCCACAGCAAGGCAGGAGGCAGCTGGACACCAAGTCAGCCCAGTGAGCAGGGCTGTGTTCCATAAACCTTTACAAAAACGGGCCGATTTGGCCCACAGGTGCAGCCTGCTGTGTGAGCCCTGCTCTGTGTGTCCCTCTCGTCTCTGTGCCTTCATCTTTGGAGGGTAAGATCTTCGCTGCTCCCTTCTCACCCTGACAATCTTACCACTCGTTGACTCAACCCAAATCTCACTCTTTGAAGCCATGCCCCCAATCCCTCTTATACATCTCCAACAATTCATCTCTCTTCCCAGTGTCTGATGTGGCTGGCACAGAGTAGGTGCTCAGCAGTGTTTTGGTATCCCAGTGAATACAGACAGTAAAGTTACCCACAGGGAATGTGTTCCAACACCCCCGGTGGATGTCCGAACTATGGATAGTCCTAACCCCTGTATGTGCTATGTTTTTTCCTATATGTACGTACTTTTTCACCTAAAGGACGTGCTTTATGGCTTCTCTTTGGCATATACAAGTTTCCTGCATCACTAGGCTTTGGGGTAATTGTTTCGTAAAATAGGGTGACTTGAGCACATGTAAGGCCGAACAGCTGGTCTGATCATGGAGATGGCTAAGTGACTCTCAAGCAGGAGCAGTCACAGCGGGGAGACACTGGACAAGGGAGGAGTCACTTTCTAGGCAGGATGGAGCAGGAGGATGTGAGATTCCATCATGCTACTCAGAATGGCATGCAGTTTAAAACTTAGGAGTGACTTAGTTCAGGAATTTTCTATTTAATATTTTTGGATCGAGGTTGACCATGGGTAACTGCAACCTCAGAAGGCA